CAACAGGATTTTTGTTCCCAGTGACCAGGACAGATGAAGGGAAGGGAGGCAGGAGAGAGGGAGTGGGGAGGGACGGGAAAAATGAGGAGCTGATATCAAGGGCTCAAGTGGAGAGCAAATGTTTTGAGAATGATGAGGGCAATGAATGTACAAATATGCTTTACACAACTGATGTATGTATGGATTGTGATAAGAGTTGTGAGCCCCTAAAAAAAAAAAAACTGGGCAGCGATATGTCCTATCCCAAATGATGTGAACAAGCACATCATCAAAGAAGACATTCAGAGGGCCCACAAACATGATGAAATGTTCGCAATCATTAGCCCTTAGAGAGATACAAATCATAACAAGGAGGTAACATCTCACTCCAGGATTTACAGTTCAAAATAACAGAAAACAAATGCTGACATACACTACTGGTGGAAATATAAAATGGTGTGACCACTGTGAAAAATGGTATGGTATCTCCTTAAAAACTTAAGAAATATGTGTGTATGGATTGGGATAACAGTTGTATGAGCCCCTAATAAAATGTTAAAAATAAATAAATAAATAAACATGAAAATTTAAATTAAAAAAAAACTTAAGAAATAAAATATCCAAGCAATCCTTCTACTTGATATATATATCCTAAAGAATTAAAAGCCTTGAAACAAACAGATTTATATGCACACCAATTTATATGCAGCCCTGTTCACAGTCCCAAAAAGATGGAAGCAATGTAAGAATCGGTAAGCACCGCAGTACAAACACGTTAGGGAACAATGATGAATCTGTGAAACATTCTAGAGGACATTACGCTGAATGAAATCAGTCAAAATAGGGCAAATATTATAGGGGACTAGTATTACAAAAAGTCAAGAAAAGATTTTCACGGAGCACAGGGTAATAATCATGTGCAATGCAGTGAATGATTTAATACGGCTCTTCTAGCCATAGCATTTGTTACTACCACCAAATGACCTTTTCGTTCATGATGGGTTTGAGAAGACATTGATTGGCTTATATAATACAACTGTGAGTGACTGTTAACAGGGTTGTGAAGAGGTGAATGCCATCCTGCTGGGTATAAAAAGAACCATATCAGAAGCAGGAGAGAAAAATTTCAGTGCCAGCAAAAGAGAAGAGCCTGAGGGGAGCGATGGCATCCTTGGACCCTAAGATCCCTGTGCACTGAACCTCCTGGATGCAGGAGACAACTGTAACACCAAAGAAACAGCAGAACCAGAAGCCAGAGCACCAAATAAAGCTAAGTGCTTTGGAGCAGGAGGCTGGCTTGCAGTGACTCCCGCACTTAATTGGAGGAGCTAGATTTGCAGACCCATAGAACTGAAGCTGAGTGCCATCGGGCTGAAACTTATGGTAAAATAGCATGCCCTCTGGGCCTTTATTGGCAGCCCTAATAAAAGAGCTTTGGACACTGCTTGAGCAAGACAGGGGACAGGCCAAGAAGTTGAGGGCTTGACAAAGTTTGCCTGTGAGCACTAGAGAGAGAAGAAATTGTCCTGATTAAACAATTAATTGTATCCTGAGCATTTATCATGTAAACTGTAACCTGTTAACTTCCTTAATAAACCCCTGATTTTATCTGTGTGGCTATTGCAATTAATTAGAAAATCCAGGTGTAATTTATAAAGAGACTGAGCACCTTGAGTCATAATCAACTCTAGTTACTGGTTGGTTAGCTGCCATTTAGTCAGTTCTGACTCATGGAGGCTCCAAAAACCATGAAACACTGAGTAATCCAGCACCAACCCCATGATCTGCTGAGAACTGGTCCATTATAGTCCATAGGATTTTTATTGGCTGATTTCTTAAAGTAGCTTGCCAGGCCTTTCTTCCTTGGCTTAGTTTGGAAGATTTGCTGAAATCTGTTTAGCCTCTCACAGGCAGTTGGCTCTGTATGAGGCACACTGTTGAGAATCGAACCCAGGCCTTCCTCATGAAAGGAAAGATTCTACCCCAGAACCATTAATGCAGTGGTTCTCAACCTTCCTAATGCGGCGACTCTTTAATACAGTCCCTCATGTTGTGGTGACCCCCCAACCATAAAATTATTTTCATTGCTACTTCATAACTGTAAGTTTGCTACTGTTGTGAATCATAATGTAAATATCTGATATGCCAGATGTATTAGGCGACCCCTGTGAAAGGGTCATTCAACCCACGCACCCCCCAAAGGGGTCGTGACCCACAGGTTGAGAACCCCTGTATTAATCCATATGTGTGTGGAAACCGTGTGTGTGTGTGTGTGTGTGTGTGTGTGTGTGTGTGTGTGTGTTATAGCGAATTATTTAATATGGCCCTTCTAGTCACAGTGTTCGTAACTCTCATGGGATGACTTTTTTCCTGCTGGGTGTGGGTAAGCGAAGGAGTGATGTTGATAGATTATATGATTCAGTTGTGAGTGATTGCTAACAGAATGATTGTGATTGTCAAAACTTGAATGTGGGAAACTGGTTAATTCTGTCACACTGTTGGATATAAAATGAGCCATTTTAGAAGCAGGAAGCTCTCACCACCATCAAGAAAGAACCATGAGTGGAGTTTGCAATTAAGGGAGCTAGGTTTACTGACCCATGGAGCTATAGTTGAATGCCTTCAGACTGAGGCTTACTTAAATGACGCAAAATAGATTTGAAGCATTTATCAGCAGTGCTCCAAAAGCTTTAAAACATTGCCAAAACAGGGCAGAAACCATGGAGCCCCATGGCTGAGGGGCTGAGGATCAGAAGAATGCTTGTGGAAATAACTTAGTGGCTTTCCTGACCATTTCTGATCCTGAACTGTAAACTGTTGTTTTCTAATAAACTACTTAGTTGGGCCGATGCTCACACTAAAACATGTTTTTGATGGTTACCAGAGGTGACAAGGGAAGGAAAGGTAAGCAACTAATTACAGGGTATATACACATTAATTTGGGTGACTGTGAAGGCAATGAGGGAGAGGTCAGTAAGAATTATGGAGGCAGGAGAATATGCTGGGAAGAGTGTGAGAGTTAAAGGCAAAAAATGTAAATATTGTTATATACACACACTCTTGCAATAATGTGGATGCACAGATAGATACACAGACTGTAGGTGTGGAGAGTTAGGCAAATATACGAGGTTTGACAAGGTTCATATATAGGTTTGACAGAATATATTTTACATGAGTATTTACTTTTGCTGATATATTCACCAATGTGGTAAAACATATAGGGGGCAATATTATGAAAACACTGTAGACAGAACCAAACATATTGAGGAAATGAGGGTCTGAGGGATCAGTGGACCCCAAGATCAGCTGGCATAACTCAGTCCAATAAAACAATGTTCTACATCCAACTTTGGTGAGGCGCGACTAGAGCTTTAAACACTTGTGAGCAGGCATCTTTCTACATCTGTTGGAAAAAGTGAAATCAAAGATGCATGGAA